CGAGTAATTATATTGAGAAAAAAAAATTCTTTTGAAATTTATGCATTTCTACCTGTTGTTAACATGACATGAATAATTTGTAGCTTTTAAGTTAAACTTTGCCCTTATTTTGAAAATAATTTATATACATAAATCATAAAAGTTTTTAAAACTTTTATGATTATTAACCGTGCTTACTAAAAATGTAAGAACTTTCAAATATATTATAATTCCTATAAAAGACTATGATATACCTACTAATGGCACAAATACCAAACAACACCACATTATTCAGTTGGCCAAATGGGAATTTGCTCGTCAGTGCCAGCTAATTGTTCCTAATCAAAAAGGTGGAGTTGAGCCAAGTTTTTCCACATAATTAACGTGTGGGAAGTAAATTAAATACATCGACGCATCATACATCAAATTTGTTGAAATATAATTCTTTTTGTCTATTTCGTTTATTTGATTGTTATTTGCTTAAGTATTATATTGTAACCGTGATATATTTCTGTTTTTTGTACCTGGCAGCTTCGATGCATAATTAGTAAATTTTATATTTTCGATCTCTTCTCTTTTAGACAAGGGTTGGACATACTAAAATGGTGACCTGATGAGGCTACACCCTGTTCTCACCGTAAGGTGAAAGCTTTTCATTTCTCTCTGCATGCCATCTTTAAAAAACCAATTTACTTTTAATTAGCTGCTGTTTACTAATAAATGTTACAGATAATGTTCCGAGAGTTTAAAGATGGGTTTTATCCTTTGCAATTTTTGGCAGCTAATTTTGATTAGGAGAGTTAAAAAAAAATAATTTTTTTTTGTTTGTTTATGAATCAGTGATTTGGAATTTTGATTAATTAATATGTCAGCCTAAAAGACTGAGCAGATAACATTTTTGAATTATTTTTATGAAAATGTTATTAAATTTTAACAGAAGTAAATGGCATATAAAAAAAGTTATATCTTATAAATATTACTTCTGAATTTAGGCTGATTTTGATTCCTGCTAAAATAAACAAGAATCATTTTAAAGTAAAATTTTTTAAGTATGTCAAGTTTAAATGCAAAGCAACGAATAAGCATATTCCAAATCTTCACATTATTCTTTACAATGCTTTATCATGTTATTGCATAAAAGATATCCATTTAGATTCAGAGTCTATTGGGATAAAAATTAAATTTTTTGCTCAATTGCCATTGCATTGCGACTTCATCTAAAATTTGATTTTCTTGCATTGCAACTTCATCTAAAATTTGATTTTCTTAGCTCCTTTTGAATTATTTTGATTGCACATTTTGACTTGAAACACTTTTATATAATGCTTATTATAATTTTAGAAATAATTCTTAACATGTTGAAAATAATTTCTTCAAATCTTCAAACAAATTTTTTTTTTTTATAAAGGCATAGCTGCCAACATAGATAGGCAAAAATCCAGTAGATTTTACGAAATAATATAAATTTCATGATAACTGTTGCAAAATGTGCAAAAAATATTTTACACATAGGGAATTTTAGGGATTTTTATCGACATCAAAACAGAAAAACTGCAATATTTCCGGTCATGATTGGCATTAAATATGCTGGAAATGTTGTGAATTACGTTTAGTCGTAATTTTGAATAGGCATATAATTCATACAAAATAATTAATATTTTTTTAATTAATTTAAAAAGGTAGTTCTGAATAAAATATAAACTGAACATTTTAGAACAAAAAAATTTTAAACTTGTTTCTATAAACAAAGATAGCTTCTTTACATATTAGTAATACTTATTAAAATATTTAAGCAATAAACAGTGCAAAAATTATATTTTAAAAGGGATTTTTTCTAGGAAACTTAGACAATTTTAGGGAATTTTCTAAAATGCACGAAAACCAGGAGAATTTTTATTAAACCAGTAGACCAGGAGAAACTGGAAAAAACCGGTAGTCTACTGGAAAATCCAGTAGAGTTGGCAACTATGTAAAGGTCATCTGATTATTAATATCTTATTATAAATATTAAAATTTGTATACATTTTCAAATGCAGAATTATTTTCAAAAAATGCGTTTCTAGCGCATCAGAGAGAAAAGAAATGCTCGTGATCTTTCTATTCTCATTTGAGAAATAAAAAATTTGATAATGACTGACTTCAGCAAAATTTGAAATAGATAATAAACATATTCCAAAATCACAAAAATTTAAGAGATCTTAAACTTTTAAAAGTTAAGAGACCCTTTATAAATCTTACGATTCATGGGGAATTTTGTTCCAAATTCAGATTTATAGCAAAATAACTAATCAATGCAATACATCTCCCCCTTTTTTATAAATTTGGTTGAATAAAATTTGCTATCGAATATTTTTCATGCATTACGCAACTGAATTTTTCATTAACCACAGCTTCATTTTTACACAACTCGCAGATTCCATATTAAATGTATGCAGTGCTTTATTATTTTTTCAGCAATTACAGCTACTAATCTTAACTATAAAAAAAAAACACTGATGTTATTATGGCTTGAAAAAATTTTAATCGCAGATTCAAGAAAACACTCTTCGACATGCCGGTTTGCACCAATATCATTGTTGGTCCACCGTGGGAGAATTTTTTTGAACTAAAATTTATTTCAAAAATGAATATAGGTCAAATGTTTAATGTTTCTTGATTCATTAATGCGAAGCTGGAATGTGATATTAAATCTCACGTTTAAAAAGATATGTATAATAAACGTTTTTTTAAAATGGCAGGCAGTGAACCAAAGTCACAGAGGCGAGCAACATTTTACCTACACCACTCTGCCTCACAGATACCCATTCACATTCATACATCACACAACACACAGAGAGGGAAGATATTACAATATAATAATAAACATTATGAATTATATTTAAATAGACATTTATATTGGAATACACAACAGTCTTATTTACAATATATATACAGTGAAACCTCCGTTAAGCGGACATTCATGGGACCAAAAAATTTGTCCGTTTATGAGAGTTGTCCGTTTACGGGAAGGGTACCCTAATAACGAAATTTAACACCGTAAATTGTTTTTAGAACATTCTCAAAGATGCAGAAATAATTAAATAAAATCTACAAGGATACCGTAAATATCTGCAAGAATATTTATTTAAACAATAAGAAATATATAAAAGAGAAAAAGAGATACAAAAAAGATAAAAAAAGAAGATTCTTTATATATTCTTCTTTATATAAGAAATATAAAAAAGAATATATAAAGAAGTTTGATATAAATACATAATTCTGGATGTAGCTACAGATAAATAAATATAATTTTCCTATTAGCATAGATACTCAAGTTAGACATATGATACCAAATAGGAGCGTACTGTCCTCAGTCCGTTTCAATTATTAGGTTCACATCCCCTTACACCTACTTATCATTTGATAGGGAACATGGTTAATACCTTCTTGGAAAATAAACCTCCTATGATGCACATAAAAAAAGTAATGCGTACCTGTAAGTCATGACGACCTATGGAGATGATTATTCACAATTGATCAGCTATCAAGTGCCTGAATAAATGTTTCATTTACATAAACACCTCAAAGATTATACAGTGCCCGCCGTTTATTAAAATCACTTTCGTTTTATGCTCTTTTGATTTTATTAAGCGGCTGATTTTATTAAGAGGCGATTCAACATTTGAAAAAGAAGAAAAAAATTTTACGATATATTCTAAATGCACACACTTTAAAAGCTGAAATAATGACCACATTAATGCTTTATTTTAACTAATTTAATTATTTTAATAAAGTAAAACCCTACACAAGATTAAATTTACAAAAGTTTTGCAAAAAACCGATCAATAGTTGCTTGAGTTGCAGTACTTAAAGTTAACTTTTCAACATCATTTGAGAGTTTATAGAAGTTTTTATAGTTTTCGATATTCCTCCTCTTTGTTCTAAAGCTTGCCGCAATACATTCAGTGCTTTTCTGACTTCCATTGAAGATGGCACTGATGGCACTATTTCATCTTCAGAGTCTGATTCCTCCATTTCTTGATGGGAAATAACTTTGCAATTTTTGATGTCTGTAACAATTTCAGAATCAGATTTTTCTCCTGATGTTTGCAGGTTGTTGTCAATAGCTACGTTACGTGAAAAATTCTCGTCCATTTCATTTTCTTCCTTGCTGATCATTTCTTCGAAACAGTTATGAGCCCCATCTCCATCGAAGCTTCACGCTGACTACATTTAGGAAGCTTATCATAGTTTTGCAACACTTCGAATTTATCTTCAAGACTCAAATCCTTCCTTTTCGGCATGCTGATAAAATTTAACACCAAACAAACTTCAAAATGATATGGGCTCTAACTCTAATTTACTCAAACGGCTTAAATAATATGGAACATGAGCCCAGACAGTTGTTGGAAATCTATTCATGTTCTCTGTTAAGATAGATAACAAAATCCCTTCTATGGTTCATTCAATAAAAAGTAAGATAAGAATTCGACCCCCTGTTGAGTGAGATAGGTTTCTCCAAACTTCATTCAAGTCAAGGAATTAACATTGATAAATTGATTTCTATGAACTTACCGCTTACCACCCACATTTTTCCTTAACTCTTACACTATGTATATCACAGGAAAGTGCTAACCACACCTGTTTCACAGGTTTGTGAGTAACTGTTGCTTCTTCTAAAAAAATCTTTAAATTTCGGAAAAATAAAATTTTATAAATAAGAACAAAAAAAGCTGAAATATTGCACCTTTGATTTATTATGTAGTCAAAANTTGCGGAGAATGTACGTAATGGTTTATTCATAGAAGATTCCCGGGGAATTAAAAATATGTCCGTATTGAGAGGCGTCCGTTTCGCAGGAGTGTCCATAATAGGAGGTTTCACTGTATATATTTTCTTGCCTAAATTAGTTTGGGCATATGCTAACTCTTTGTGTGGACTTCATTTGCATTAAACAAGACATCCTCTCACAACATGTAATTGGATTATTACAAAAGTTTACTGTTTTAAGCCATAAAAATTATGTAAAGAGGAATAATTACTTTTATCTTTCGGTTTCCTTCCAGGCATTTTGTAAGAGAACCTAGAGGGCAATTTACAAATTTCTTAGTCATCCGTTGAAGGACATTGCTGTCATCATCCTTAGCTGCTTCGTCAGGAATCTAAAATGACAGAAGATAGAGCAATATTTTATTTGAAAATATAGAAAAAATTAATTAATAACACACAAGTTGAATTTGGCAATACTGCACCAAAATCAAAGTAACATATAGGGAGAATAAGTAAACTAAATAAATGTTAGAAAAAGACAGAAACAAAAACATTTCTTCTTCTTTGGATCGGCATTCATTTATATACCATATTTTTAAAACAGGCAACAAACTCATCAATTCATCATTAAAAAATTCTGTGATAAGTCAGACTTAGATAAAATGAAAATTTTTCTGCAAGCAATTATAACTTAAAGCATTGCAATAATTGTCTTTAAACTAGATTCAACCCTTTCGTTGCTACCTATCCTAGTAAAAATTGTTTGAAACTGTTCTAATTTTAATATAAAAATCTATATTATTATTAAGACTAGCATGTCTGAAAGTCAAATATATTTAGCCTAATCACAGAAAAAGTGCAGTTGCACGAAGAGAAATAAATTTTTATATCATTATCTGAAGCTTACAAGCAAGTTAAGATAGGAGAGTTTTAGCTTTTTTAAATGAGTTATACAAAAAAAATTTCTGCACTTTTTTAAAGCATTGACTACAAGGTAAAATAAAAAAATTTTGACAGTTGTTTATGAAGAGTAAAATTTTTTTCCTCAAACTCTGTTCACACATATTATATGCCTCTGGATATGATTACAACATTGTTGATTTATAAAAACACATGAAAGATCAATAAGTATGAAACTACAAACCTCACATACAGCAGTCGCTGAAAATATATAAGTATTTATGACCAAGGAACTCATAATCACAAAAATTTTAGAGTTTAAAATTATTAATTGAGTTACAGTTGAACATAGTAACAGCCAAAGGAGAATAATGACTCAAGGTCAAGTATTGCAACTGCATCTGTTTTTTAATTCATTATTTTGAATAGGGTGCAAGGAGGGGGCAGAACATAAATTCTTTTTAATATGTCAGCTTCTGTGTTTGCTTACCAATTTATGTTTAACTGGAGGAGAAATAAAATCACTCAGCTTAATAAGGAATAAGATTGTGATACACGTTTTTCCTTCTGATTTCGATTAAAGTTTTACGAAAATGTTGAAACCCAAGTTAAACTCTTCTAAATAGTAATCGCATGCCAGAATCACAGCAATATTTCGTAGAGCGTTAGAGAGTTTTTTGAAGAAAGATTTTTTTTTCCATACAGAATTATATTCAAGCGATGTATTTCTAGTGCATAGGAGGAGGGAAGAGAAATACTCACGACTTTTTTCTTCGCATTTGAGAATAATGAAGTAAAAAAAACTTTTTATGTAAAAAATGTAGAGGATGGTTTTGAGTCCTGATGCAGACAACGATGAAGTAGAATAAAGCAAAGAGGTAGTCGAAGAAAGGAAAATGGAGCTCCTCCCCCCTTTTTCCATTTTTGTTCATTATATATTAAGCCTGTAGATATTGTTATTTCATTGTTTTCTTTTCTTCCTTTTTATCTTATTAAACTTGTAATGTGTATTACTTTACAGTTTTTTCTTCTTTGCAATATTATTTTTAAATAATTTTTTTTAGTTGGGTTTGACAATAAAAACACAGCGCTCTGTAGGGATTCAGAATACCAGAAAAATCAGTTATCCGGAATAGCGATGATCCAAATCGTTCTTGATAATCGGTTCTCTACTGTATTTAAAAAACTAATTTCGATGCGCAAAAAAAAATATTACAAAATTTAAAGAAGTAATTTTTTTTTTATCTAATAAGATTGAAATATGGATTTATGTTAGTATTGATTGCATTGAAAAGTGATCACTGAAATCAGAGATTTCCATTTCTTAATTGTTGGAAATTAACATATTTTTATTTAAATCCAGTGTGCATAGCCAAATCTTTCAACAAAAATATGCACCATTTTAGTACTTTTTAAGCACTAAACAAATATTTTTAAAAGCCATATACATTAACAAAATGCAAAATAATTTTTTAAAACTTTACATGATCCTGATAAAATAATTAGTTTCTGACAAAGAACTTTTTTTTTTATTACATAAGCCACCACAAAAATATCTTCAAGATTTTGCAGTTCGATTTCACAGGGCGAAAAATGAAACCTGAAATTGAGAATATCTTGCAAAATGCAGCAGAGTTGCACATGAGAGTGCTAGACTCTTAGAACCCAGCTCGAAGCCAGTACTTCCTCAAACATGTAAAATGATAGAGCTTTCATGCAAGACGGAACAATGGTATGCTGAAATGCAGTGTCTTTGAAGGAACTGTGAAGATGTTAAATAGAACAATGTGAAATCCCCGCTCTTGCATAGGACGTGGCGAAAATCGACATGGTAAAGAAAAAAGATCTCACTTTTAAAAAAGAAAAATTAAGCAGTTGTGTTAAAGAATGATTTCTTGAATCTGGGATCTGCACTTTAAGTGCCATAATATCAGCATTTTTCAAAGAAGAAGAAAAAAAACCGAGAATATTAATAATAGTAACTGAAAAATAAAAAATGCTGCGATTTTAAAAAAAAAAGTAAATTTTGCAGCAATGATTGCCAGGGGAAAAAACTTATCAAAACTATGCATATATTTATGATGGAATCGGTGCGAGTTGTCAGTGATAAAATGAAAACTAAAATGCAAGATTTAAAGTTTTCATGCGCATAATATATTTAAAATACTCTTCTGAAGTCGGTCATTATCGAATTTTTGTTTCTCAAACAAGAATAGAAAAATCGCGAGCATATTTCTCCCCTCTCATGTGCAAGAAAGGCATCCTTTGCAGAAAAAAAAAAAAAATCCCTCTAAAAAAAATTCTTCCTAAAAATTTCGCAGAAAAAAAATAAAGAAAAAAAAACAATTTTTTTTATTTCCCTAAAGAAAAACCTTTCTGCAAGAACTGAGTAACATTTTGCGACAATGTCGCTGTAATTCTGCCATGTGGTATTTGTACTATTTTATTTCTAAAGAAAAAAGCATGAAGCTTGTGGAAAATTAAGTTAAGTTTATGGTGAATATCAGGGTTGGGTTTTTGTCATCAAAAACTGGTTCTTGACATGACAGTGGTAAAAACTGTCAAAAACATACTTTTTTCTTTCATTTATGGCATATAGCAGACAATATATTATTTTCACATAATTGCCTTTATAAATGAATGTTGTAAATGATTGCTATTGATTTTGCAACTATATACATGTATCTTAAAGAACAGGGGTTTCCAACTGGCAGCCCAGGGGCCGCATCCGGCCCACGAGGCTTTTTTCTGTGGCCCGCGAACTAAAATATATTAGTTATTTTTTTGTGCACAATTTTCATAAAAAATCTATATGGGTTTAAAATACTTTTCTCGTTAATTAAAAACTAATTTCTTCATTTCTGTGAAATTTAACATACCAACGGTGCAAAGACATTTATTTCTTAAGTTTTACATCCAAGATAATATTTATTTAAGTACAAAAATAATCGTGTATGTTGTTCTTTTTAATTTAACCTTCTTGTATTTTGTTAATATACTTTAGAATGTGAGTATCAGAAATTTTATCGAAGAAATTCTCCGATTTAAATTTTTGAAACCACTCATTTTGGACTAAAATTTCTTAATTGTTAGAAATAAACAAACAAACAAAAAAGCTTGGAACTATTAATAAATTCAAGAACTAAAATGAAGAATTTAAAATTTGGCATTTCTTAAATATTAGAAATAAGCTAAACAAAACTTCCAANAGAGAATTTTGCGCTCCCTCAGAAATGTAATATGCCAAACAAAATGATGCTTGGAAATGTTGAAAATTTTGTTTAGTATCCTCATATATCTTACTTCAAATAGTATGTTTTGATATAATCATGTTGGGAAAACGCAAGAATCTGTTCTTAAATATCTTTTAACAACTTTTTTTCTAATTTTATTGCCCAAAAATGAATTAACTTTCAACTATAAGTTAACAGTTTTACCAAAACTACGGGTTTTTGACATGACGTTACCGTAGTATAAACCGGTCAAAACCGTCGTGTGTAAAAACTTGCCAACCCTGGTGAAGACGTTCTACTAGAGCAAATTATATCTGAACAGGTTCAAGAAATGCTGGTTTTGATTAGAAAGATGTTCCTTAATCTGGCAGGCCAATCTGCATTGATGCTAACAAATTAAAGAAATTAATCCAATCAAACCCAGGTTACCCAAAACAAGATNTTACCAAAACTACGGGCATGACGTTACCGTAGTATAAACCGGTCAAAACCGTTGTGTGTCAAAAACTTGCCAACCCTGGTGAAGACGTTCTACAAGAGCAAATTATATCTGAACAGGTTCAAGAAATGCTGGTTTTGATTAGAAAGATGTTCCTCAATCTGGCAGGCCAATCTGCATTGATGCTAACAAATTAAAGAAATTAATCCAATCAAACCCAGGTTACCCAAAACAAGATATTGCAAAGACAATGAAGTAAAAAAAAAAAAAGCATTATGCCCATCACAAAAAGCTGTGTTACATAAGGAAACTCAAAGTTTTGGCTCTTCAAGGAATCAAAGAAAATCACTCGACGGCACAATAATACATCTGCATGTTATACTCGTGAAACATGAAGAAAAAGATCTTTTTAAAACCAATTATTAGCAGTGAGGAAAAGTGGATTGTTTATGTGTATGTGGTGCGAAAGGGTTTTGAATCTTGGGCTAGCAGTCTTCCACTTGTTTTGGTCTCTGCAAAACTAATGTAAAATAATGTTAAAGTCAGATGAGGCTATAAACTAGCTAATTGAATGATGGCAAAAATTTATCAAACAAAATGTTCTAATCTTTAAACTAATTTAAATATTTGACTTTAAAAATTTAGAATGAAAAAAAAACTACAATGAGCTTTTTTACAATCCATTATATCTATAAATTTCATATTAAAAGAAATTGTGAATCATAGAAAATAAAAGCAAACATTTAAAAATAATTATAATGATTAGCTTTACAATTAATATTTTCGGAAATACTTAGTTCACAAAAAAGAAAGAATAAATTTTAAAAAAATGCATAAAACAATATGTAGAAAGTTTTGATTAGCAATTAAATCAAATCAAAATTGTTTCAGTTCCAATTAAATTATTTCATGAGAATTTTAAAAACAAATATTAAGAAAACTTTATATTTACTTAATATTCCTTAACTATTCTCACCTAAGAAAATACGAACATGCATTCATGGTTAAGTCACAATTTAACTGAACTTAAAATTGCCGAAATAGTTAAGCCTTTTATAAACAAAAATTTCAATTAATAAAGCTTAATCATAAATGCTTCCTGTTTCGTTTTAAAGCGTTTAAATGAGGAGCAAACTGAATTTTCAACTAAATTTTTAAAGTTTTTTGAAGCCAGTACAGTAATGAGTGCTTTACTTTGTTTTATTATAATAAACATGCTGTTTTAATTTTTACTACTTACGGAATCCGACATTTTTGAAAAGTTAGTACTGAGCACATTTTTCATAAGAGAAAAATGACGGATTTAACAATTTACTAGCTTCAATCAAGAGAATGTGGAACACATGCAAACATTTGACAGTTAAATATTTCCAAACAAAGGAAAACTAAAAAAAAGAATTTTACCCGTCCAAAAGACCGGGGAACATCTTTGTGAAGCAGCGGTGGAGACGGACTTCGACTACGGCGGGAACTACTTGCATCAGATCGTCTGCTATCATGGCGATCTCTGCTATCATGTCTCCTTCCATGACTATCACGCCGGTCACGATATGACATTTTAAATGTTTGTATTTAAATTCCAGCAAAAAAATTAGGAGTTTTAGGCTTTAAAAATAATTAGTGATTCAAACAATGATTCGGACAAAAGCGCTCGCACATTTCGCAATTTTTTCACCGAATATGTTAATTGTAAAATGTTGCCAAATTACATAATATAATTTAGCTAAGAATAATAAGGAATGGATGGTTGACTACGTCAAGTCTGAGCGCAGATGGCGCTAAAGGTCAAAATTCGTCGTAAGACTTCCGGGTTGACACTTCCAACTAATTTTTATGCCTTAACTTGAAAAAGCGCACCATCCAATATCATTGTACTTGTGTTTACAATAAAACGCATTTTTTCAATTGAACCTCCAACGAAGCAAACAACAAATGAATTCGGAAGACTCTACTTTTAGCTATGATGCTACCCAAAAAATAACCAACGGTGCTATTTGACATAAGTATAGCCAAATAAGGAATCTCAAGGCATGGCCAACCTTACATTTTATTTATGCTGTGATAATAATTATGTTAAATTTTTTTTAAGCTTAAGATTTGTTAGAATTTATAAATTACGGAAAACTCTTATGAATGATAAAATAAGGTGTAAATTTAAACACAATAATAAAACTTCCTAGAATATTAAACATGTTCCCACAGCGCCTCCTGAACAGGGCCGGATTAAGCGTACGCGGGGCCCTAGGCCATTCAAATTTTTGGGGCTCTTAGATTAAATTTTTTTCTCGTATATTTTTTATTTATTCAAATATAAAAGTATTTATATATCTTCTCATTTAGGAAAGCATATTTAAAATTAAAATAAATAATATTAAATTAAATGTTACTTCATTTTATTAAATTAGAACTAAAAAATAAACGTAACATTTTGAACAATCATTGTTTTTTTTAATTTTTTGAAATTTATTTTCAAAAAATTCATTTTAAGGGGATCCCAGGCCATGTCCTAGTCCGGCCTGATGGGTAATCCGGCCCTGCTCCTAAACATAACGTAAGTGGAGAGATACACCGGAAGTTTTCTAAATTTCTTCCAGTTTTAAGAAGATAATTATAAGGTTTCTTTTCGCAAAGTCATGTATGCTCAGCTAAAATCTACCTTGTCGTGAAATTTTAATGGACAATGCAATTCGATTCTTATCGCTAGTGTGACATCAGCTAAAACGTCATTATGGACCTAAGGGGCGATACTTTTTAAAAAAGCCTAAAAAAATAATATTTAGTCCATTTAGCATGAAATGTTTGAAACTGCAATATTTTTGCTTTATTGAAAAAAAGTTCTTAGTACAAACATTTTCGAACAAACAAAATTCCAACAAATAGCTGGTTGCATGCAGACGAATATCAGAAGACGAGCAAGATTTTGGCTGTTCCTGGCAACTCTTGGCAATCATGAATTCCAAATGATTGCCAAACTATAGGGTTAACATAAGTTAGTCTTCCAGAATATCGTCCATTTTTTTTCTTCAAAATGTTCCGTTCAAGTTTAAAGAATCAGTATGATATAAATGATGGAATGTTTGTAAACAAATCTATTGCAAAATTCAGTTGTTATAACTTTATGGATATCTGTAACATATCGTTATCACCTGAATAATCTATTGCCTTATGGTTATCAAATTCTGATTTCTTTTTTCTACTAAAATGATGAATAATCCTAGGATATATTTACCACTATTTAACCTGCATTATAAAGTAAACCCCTTTTGCTTTAAATCCTCTTACTTTGAAAGAAAAAAGTCTATAACGTTGATTTTTAAAGGATTCTTCATTTAATAATCACAGAAAAACAATAGAAAACAAGGACTTTTTCTACAGGAATTTTTTGCATTGCAATTAAAGTTTAAAACTAAGGATTTTTATTGAAATTAAAGAAATTATTTTATACATTAAATATACTTTTAAAAATAATAATGATATAAATAAGTAATTTAACATTCATTACTTATTAATAGGTATAAAATTTAGTTTAATTTAAAAGTTAAGTGTAATAAGTACACAATAAACTCTACATCCAGGTATTCTATAGTAAAAATATTCGAGAAAACCATTGTAAAGAATATCCAAATCCAGAATATAATATAACAAGAATTGTGGCTAGGAAGGATTGCACCAGATCATTTTGCATCATACCTTTTTCTAATGTATTTAAACTTGGTACTTTTCCGCTACTCAGACACAAGAAAATTCGATTTTTTTTTTAATTAATTATTTTTTAAGTTTTCAAAAAATTAAGAAAAGAAAAAGTTGGCTAATGTCTTCATTTTTTAGCGACTTTCGTTTTCACGCAGTTAACCAACAAGTACCTTAAACTTTAATTTAGTAGCTATATTACTTCACAAATTCATCTTAAAAGATAAATAATTTATTATTAAATTTAAAGTGCAATTCTTAATTTTGTGTACAAATAGTGAATTTAAAAGTGGGATCATTGTAAAAATAATTAATATTATACCTAGATTTTTTTTCTTGGGAAGGAGAAAAAATGCTTATTGACTATTTTTTACTTTTAGCTCTCAAGATTCTTTTCCTTATCATCTTCTAGACGAGCTCAATTTTTTGGAAATTCTGAAGAGGCAATTTCTGATATTCCAAATGGATCGAAGTTGCTCTTGGGAGGTAAATTTTTTAAAGAAAGTTCCATATCAGTTACTGTTTACGCAAAGTGGAACTACTTTGAATATATTTGAAAAATATCTATGCAGTTGCTACAATTGTTGCACTTTAGAAAGATCTATGTAGTTAGCTTTCAAATTTGTACCATTCTTCTAACTTTTTTTTTTAGTTTCTTATAGGATGTAGCTAAAACTTGGCAATTATTTTGACCCATAAGCAGATGCTGTAATCTTTCTATATGTTGCTAACTCTATTTTAGTTATAATTAGTAATTCAAGACTTAATTTAGATATGTTTTTATAATATAAAACAGAAAAGTACTCTTATAAAGTAGACTCTACTTATGAGTATTTTGTTATTATTTTATGTAGTGTAGTTTGACAGTTAGGAAATGGCAAAATAGTTTGAAATTTCAAATTTATGTTTTATTTTTAAAACAACGTGATGTGGCTTAATTAATTATATAAAGAATTAACTATAAGAGTCCAGATGTAAGTTCAGCTTAAAAAGTGACAATAAAATTTCAAGTTTTATTACCCTGACATATCTGTAAGTAACAAACAAAATACAATTTACTTTTTTTAAAATAGAACTCAAAATTTTCAAAATTACAACTATATTATTTTTGTTCTGTTTTCAATGTAAATAAAAAAAATTATTTAGGTATTCATATTTTGTTCTATTCTATTGTACTGCACTTTAAAAATTTAAATAGTGGTAGAAAATTCTAGGAATAAAACTATTTTAGCATGTTTGTAAAACCACTTTATTTTAATTGCTTCAAGTGTATATGAAAGTATGTACGAAATTTCAATATGTACAAAATTTTAGGTTTAGAAACTTTAATTTGAAATTTGTTTTTAAAATTAAATTTTTCTGTTCTTTTGAATACAGGTTTTTTATTTGCAACTTCTTTCTTTTTTTCTTCTTTCTTTTTCCTATTTTTCAAAATTTAAATAACAAAGGTTTTTGAAGCAATTTTTTTCAAAATATAAAAGTAATATATGTTAGGTTGAGCTATAATAAAACTGTCACGTGTTCAATCTGTTTCAGTATTTTTCATTTTTGGTTTCTGTACATTAATGCATTAAAATTTATAACTATCTTTTGTTGTTTTAATTTTCAATCAATTAAATTCCTTTTTCCATCAGATGCATTAAAATTTCTAATTATGTTTTAGTTTTTTAATTTTCAATTGATTATATTGAATTTCTAATTATCATTTAATTTATGAATTTTCAATAAATTACATTCCTTTTTGTCATAACAAATTATTATTTATAGGATTTGGCTTATGTGGAATTCCGGAAAATCTCATTGGCGCTCTTGTGAAAAGAGGTTTAAATGATTTAACTATTGTCAGTAATAATGCAGGAGTTGATAATTTTGGCCTAGGTTTATTACTTCAAAAGAAACAAGTTTGTATTTTATCATTTATGAAAACCAGAATGTATATCCATAGATTAAGTTGCATGTGTGTACTAATATCAATTTTTTTGTTTTCCTCATGCATGTCGATTTTAAAGTGATAATATTATGTTATTAAAAAATATATAGAATAATAAATCATATTATACTATACAGAGTTCTACCTAGAGGTGCTTCCTCTCAGAAAAGGGCACTTTGAATTTTGAAAGGACAATCACTTAGCTCCTTAAAAATTTATCAAAATGTGTAATATTATGTAATAACTAAATTTTTATCTTCAACAATTTTTAAATTACCCTCCTATATATTATATAGTATATTTCAAAAATAATTCTCTCTCATTATCAAATAATAGAAAATTTGTAGCTTATGAAAATAATTAAAGGCGTGCTGAAAGACAATCTCTTAGTTCATTATTTTTTTTTTAAAAGTACACTAAAAAAATTATTAATTATGAACAATTTTAAAGATTTATTCTGTAATTTGAACTGAAAATTATGAGAAAATAAACGTTTAAAAGTGCATTGTTATTAAAAAAACAAAGGTATTTATTAAAAAAATAATTTTAAAATTTAGAATTACTTAAAAAAATTTATTAATATACAATTGCACTCCTTATAAAAATGTAACCAGTTCAGTATTATCTTAACAAAGTAAATATTTGTAATAGTAATCTGAATTAAACTTATTAACATAGATAATTTATCAGTGCGTAATTATTATTTAAACAGTGAAATAATTTTTTTTCTTCAAAATGGAATATGAATTAAAAGGCAGTGTTTTTAAGGGACTTATTTTTACTAAGAGGGCACATTTATAGGGATCAAGGGTAGGCAAAGCGAGCCGCCTGCTCTTGAAAATACTTAAAGTATAGTATTATGTGTAATATAATGGTATTATTCTGTGTATAATAATATATAGTATAGTAATACATTTATACGTGTATAAACTAAGTATATGTTTATAAATGTATGCATAAATACAAATTATTATACATATACTTTATAATTATATTTTAAATAGTTTATTACTAAAGAATTAATTTTTTTGCAGAAAACTCAAAGGTTGTAATATTTTACACCAAAAAGTTAGCTCCTATATAAGTTACTTTACTATGTTTTACTGTTTTTAATTTTTACTGTATAATAATCGGTAGTTTGATAACTAAATGTATTATTTTTTTCTTTGCTTGGTATTTAATTTTATTCTGGTATTATAGAATTTTAAGAGAGATCATATTTTGATTATTTTTTTATTATAAATGCCCATTTTCAATGAAACATTTATGTGGATTATTCCGTAAAAGTTGTCGGTAATATGGTATTTTTAGAATCCTTATCAAAAATAAAGGCAAAAAGATTACACATTGAGAGGGGCAAATAATTTAAGAGAGAAAAAACAAAAATTATATCAAAATAAGACAAATTAGAGTAGAGAGGTGGATATAATAAATACCAAAAGTTGTTTAATATGTTAACTTGAGGGGAAAGAAAGAAAAACTAATAGTAATCTTTGAAAGGAAAGTTTGGAGCTGTTCTCCATAATAATAATATCTGAAAAAAATTTTATAATTTCAAAATTTATAAACACTATTTATTTCATAAAACTAAGTAGAATGAGAAGGGCAAGGTACCTAATAAGAATTTGCATGTTTACCTATCCCATTACTTTTTGAGATTTTAAAATCAATTTTATGAGCAAAAAAGTAAAATATTTCTACAATAAACAATATACAAGATTTGCACTCGACCATAATGTATTACAGTGAAACATCATGGAAGTAGTAACATTCTGTTCCATATAAAATCAAACTTTTAGAGAAGTCCAGAGTGAACAACATTGAGAATTTTTAATGCCACAACTTGCATCAGAAGACCAAAAAAGAGATGGAAAGACTGTGTGATTGTGTGACATTGTGTCACTTAATTTGATTTTTTCTAACAAAATTGTGACCTAAAAATTAGGCCAACCCCTGACCCCTCTCCTCTGACGCCTTTTTGTCTGTCGTCCTTCACGGCTTTGATCTTTGGCAGCCTTTGATGTAGGCACATGGGAGATGGTCCGATATGGTCGCAGTTAGTTCATAATTGTGATTTTATTTAAGCTGTTCATCAGTTCACTTCGGTTCTCTCTTAGCCACGATTCTTGATGCGTTTTAGGAAGTTTAACTTCAATTTTCAACCTAATGATATAAATACTGCCCATTTTTTGAAACCGGGCTTCCAATGCCATTAGTTTCAGTCGCCCTAGGGCATAACACAGATCAGAGGTCTAGTGCCCGCTTGCGCGGGCAGGTACCTTGCCAAAATTACATGATCCAACAAACCGGGCATTGCTTGGTGCTTTTGCTGTCCAGCTGGGATAGCGTTTTCCTTTGCCATGGTTTTTGTGAGGTGTTTCTTCCTTTGATTTTGAGAGGGGAACTTTCATTTTTAAAAAAAAGATGAATAAGCGTTGTGGATCCTGTATCCCATGTGGCCTTGTGTTTTTGGTTTTCCCTTCACTGACAAGATGTCCACCAGTTCAGCCTAGCCTTATGTCATGATCGTGATCTCTCTGTATCCCGAGTAATCGATGATGGGTTTTACAAAATAAGGAATATGTTTTGAACCATGCTGTGTCCCTGCTTCCCATAGATGTTGTGATTATGTTTTGAACCGTGCTGTGTCCCTGCTTGCGTATTGACAAAACATACCGTAGATTGTAAAGGGGTTGGCGAAAATATCCATCGGCGTTGAAGGAGCGTCTCGCAAATCGCCGAACAGCTGTGTGCTTATGTTTTTGTTTTGTTTTCGGTATCACGTATCTATCATTCACCAAGTTATATATGGGTGTCACATTTCAGAGTTTCAAATAAGCTGATCTTCATTAGATTCTTCTGCATTAAATGAAATATAAAGCGTATTTTTTTGTTATAGCTCCGACATAATCGTTTGTATTTGTTAACATAATTGTGTTTATTAGCCATATTACGTCTATCATAGATATCTTTAAGACGTCTATACTTGTTGAGGATTTATAATACCAGATGGAGCTGAGCACAAACAATTTTTTTTATTATTTTTTTTCTGCACTTCTTAAGTTTCAGTTTAGATTTAACCTACTGAACCACAGTGGAATAAAATAATTTGAATCATTTCAATTTGTGTAATTATTGTTGAATTCGAGTTATGGTGCTACACCGGCCGAAAAATAGGCCACCTGCATGAAATATGAGTTAACATTTGTTTTGTTTTGGTCTCCCTTAAGTCGGTAATTTATTTTGATATTTTATTGTATTAATTGTATTGTATTTATTATAGTAACGTGCGAGCTGTTTATAATGGATGATTTTGAAAAATTAAAGTCCAAACGGGTTGTAATCAGACAGCTGATTACAAAATTAATAAATAAAATTGACAAATTGTTATTAGAAATACTTCCTGATGAGACCTTGTATGATTCACTAAATCAGTTAGTTGAAAAAAACGGAACTTTAAAGGATCTTGATTTGAAAATTGAAAATTATTTTGATAAAAGCGATGAATTAGAGAGTGAAATTATACAAAGTCAAGAGTATCAAGATCGAGTAGTGGCTTATAAAGGCAAAATTGAAAGATATTTACTGAAATGCCAGACTACAAGACAGGAAGTAACGATTAATAGTGGTAACAATAATTTACAAGAAAATATAACTTATGGAAATATCTCGCATGTTGCTAACGTTAAATTACCTAAATTGGAGATAAACAAAT